CAGAAGATTGAAACCATATGAGATGTGGCTACATTGAAGCATAGTTAAGGTCCCGTGGACTGACCAAGTCATCAATGTCCTCATCAATGTCACTCATGCGAAATAAATTCAGATACGCCCTTCTGTAAGGAAAAACATTTGGAAAGCGAGGTCCAGGAAAAAGAAGGATATCCTGGTTAAAGAATCGCAGAACCTGCTTCAACACAACACCTGTGCCGCTTTCCGCCCTGGTGCAGACAAGATAAAGATTGTCAACATTCTTCGTGGATACGCCACCAAGAGGAAGAATATTTTAATATTATTACTAGTGAATATGTTAATATTTATTTATTCTTAGGACTGCAATGCATACAAGCAACGAAGTATGTTATTGATATGTAGCATATCGACATAATTGCACTCACATTCTTGTTATTATCAGAGAACTACGAGCTACGTGTTCTTACTTCTCTGTTATTATGTTGGGTCATTATTTATTTTTCCAAAGCTGTTAAAACCGTAATCACCATCGATGTGTATTGACATTTTAACATTTTTGTTCAATAAAAGACCAACAATGGCAATGGATGAATTTCTAGTTCATCTATCATAGTACCCCTTCCAATGTAGGATTTTGCCTGCTACCATCCGTCGACAAGATATGTTTTATTAGCTTTTGGGATTGGGTTACAAAGCTGTTAGACAGAATATAACGTCTGAGTTATTATGTTCATAATTTATACGAGCATCGGAACAAGAAGAGCTTTTTGTCTGCAGTAGAGTGTGATATCTTAGATGGAAATGTACCGTTTCAACATAGCGACCATTGCACGGACACCACTCAGTCAAACTATTCAGTTTGTTCACAAGGGAACCAGGCAGGAAAGAGAGAACAATCTGGCTCTTATTTTTGATTATTTTGTGGAAAATCGTGTCCACTACTATTCCCTTCAGGAATACATTGCCATAGACAACCATGTTAGAGATTAGGAGACTTTGCTCTTTCAGGCAATATATCTCCAACTAACCTACGAAGTGTAGTATCAAAATTTTTGCGGCAGTAATGCATGATTACCTCGTACATAACCTTACAAAGTATGTTGTAAGGCAGGTTGAAAATTGAATACTGCGTTACAAGGGTAAGCAGCACGTGGCCTCTTACTGTCTTTTGCTCAATGCTAAATATTGAAGGAATACATTCCAGGGTTATTTATACCAGCAACTTTGGAGATAATGTTCTTCGAAGACAATTACTTTAACGAGATAGTAAAACTCTTGCTAAACGTTATTTAACTTGAATTCAAAAATTTTTAATCCTCTTAAAGAAAAAAATTTAAAATGTCTTTAGCCGTGAAGCATCTTTAGCAGAACGAGCAAACGAGAAACACATTGGCACCCAGAGAAACCCTAGATATATTTTTTTGATCAACTAAGACTGGTCAAGTGTTATGTCTTCCCGGTCTTGTTCTATGGAGCAGAGGCATGCACCACAACGGAAGCCACCCTGAAGAAACTAAAATCCTTTAAGCTGTGGATATATCGCCGTATTCTTCGGATATCCTGGATAGACCACATCACTAACGTGGAAGTAATGCAGAGAATAGGCAAAAGCAAAGAAATAATCTTCACCATAAAGAAACGGAAGCTTGAGTACTTCGGACATGTCATGAGGCATACTAAGTACCGGCTGCTACAGTTATTAGTCCAAGGAAGAATCGACAGTAGGAGGGGACCGGGAAGAAGACGACACTCATGGATGCATAACCTGCGACAATGGTTCGGACTAACATCGACCGAACTCTTCGTAAGGTGCCGTAAACAAAGTCAAAATAGCCTTGTTAATAGCCAACGTCCGAAACGGATAGGCAAAGGAAGAAGAAAAACTGAAATAAAAAAAGATTTACAAATTACCAGTCTGAAGGATGTTTCAGACCCATTTGTAAGGGAAATACGATAAATCCTACTAACATGTCAGAGCTGCGTTGTGCAAGATCAATAAATTGATTACACTTTTTAATTGTCTTGTAAACTACGATTTTGTTCATTTCACCTTTTTTATTATGGTTTTCTTTCCTTAATAGTACCCAATACAAAATTTTGTTTATTTTACTAATGTGCTTTATATTTCTTTAATAAATAAACACAAAATGTCATACCGTATTTTATTTCTGCATAAAATAGCCCAAAATGCATATTTTAGGTTAAATCTAACACGCGGATAACCACATAATATGTAATTGCTCGATCAGATAATCGTGGGTTAACCTGTTCAGAACGTACACCTGAACTAAAATTCAGTAATCACGCAGGGCCCTCAGTAAGCATAGCGCGGTAGAGTATCAGCAAACACAAGAAGTTTCACCCGTGTTATGCTGCTATTAGGAAGAGAAAGCACAATGAAACGTCAGAAAGCGATCTTAGTCTGATATCCCCCTTCTTATAGATTTTATCTATAGGTAGGAAACAAAAGGATAAAAGCTTGTGCTCTTTTACCGATTAAGAATATCACCACTTACTTAACAGTTAACAAGTTTTAAAATACCACAAATGGTAAAACTAGTATTGTCAACAGTTCTTAAATAATCAATAATTTCTGATAGTAGGCAAGCGTCGATGCGCGATATGAATCGTTTCAATAAATAGGTACTTTTTGTAATCATAACCAATACACATACATTAAAGCTACAAAAATATTACAGTCTACTAAAATTTGGTATCTGAATGAGATCAAAAAATGAAATGTAACGAAAATATTTTATTAATACTGGATGGTTACTGTTGGGGTAAATATACACTCACTTTAAAGAAAACCAAAAAGTAATAGCATTTCCAGACTTCTACCTATTCTTCTATTTCCTTCTATTTCCAGATTTCAGCCACTAACAATAGTGGCTGATTTTTTGCATAGCGAAAGACGTATTTTGACTTAAAACTAGGTACTACATTCTGGATTGTGTCGTATTCGATCTGTTATGTGTTAGATATAGATAAATAAATTAAATATTTTTTAGCTACTTTACTAGTAGCAAAAAAATACAGCCATAGCGTAACCGCGTGTTTTATTTGTTAATCAAATCCTCATTTTTGTTCCAGAACTCTATATTTGATCAGCAATAACAAGATCATATACCTATTACGGAAATAAGATACAGAACAAAAGTAACAAAAAAAATTGTATGTTTAAGTGGAACTGAGATGGACGTATAGGAAGCATGCAAAACAAGCAACAAACTAAGCAAATTGTTGAATGGCAATCAAGAACTCAAGTGACAAAGCGAATTGACGAATCGAACAGAACCAGGTACAGACATCAAACGAGATGGATCCAGACTTCAAAGAAATTGATCGTCACGAATGGACGCAGAGAGAGTATCGGCTACCTGGTAGCCATGATACTATGACTATAAGATAAGATATTGCGCATGTTTTTGTGACGTCATTGGAGACTTGCACGTTCGAAATGTCAGTTTTTGTATATATCAATAAATAATCTTTAATAAATAGTTTGGAGATATCCTTATGTGTACGATTATTGTAATTATTAAACCTCTTAACTTATTTACGTCTAGTAATTTCATCACATAATGCATACAAATCTCATTTAACTTTAACAAGAATTCAAATTCTAGTCTCCAATGACGGCATGCGCGAACCAGACCGATTTTGAGCTACGGGAAGATCCTATCTTGTTATTCATAGTATCATGCTGGTAGCTAAAGAATTGAAGAAAAACCGCAAGAAATGTCATTATATACACATTCGATATATCCATCCATGGACGTATACGTCCATGTATCCATCCTTTAGTCTTAGGAAAGCTGTTAAATAATCATCAATAACACAAATAGTACACGCTTTTCAACGTGTACTCACAGGTCATATTCAGAAAAGCCTTATGGGAAAGAAAAGAGGGAATAAGAATTGGCGGAGAAATCATAAACACCATGAGATTTGCAGATGACACGGTAATTATGGCTGAGAGTATAGAAGATCTACAAACTTTACTAGATGCAATAAATAGTGAATGCATTCAAATGGGACTTGACATCAACACAGATAAGACCAAATTTATGATAGTATCAAGGAGTCCAATAAATAATGAACAACTAACTCGTGGTGGACAGCAAGTAGAGAGAGTGACAAAATATAAATATCTGGGAGCTTACATCAACACAGAATTAGATCCAGACCAAGAGATCCGGGTACGAATAGAAATGGCAAGGGCAGCGTTCTTAAAATTCAAACAATTGTTCTGTGACAAAAATCTGAATATTGCGCTGAGACTGAGGTTTGTTGAATGTTACGTCTGGTCGCAATTATTGTACGGGGTAGAAACATGGACACTAAAAGCGCAAATAGTTAAAAAAGATTGAAGCCTTTGAACTTTGGATATACCGGAGAATGTTGAGAATCCCATGGACTGCCAGGGTCACCAATGAGGAAGTGCTGAGAAGAATGGGTCGAGTCAAAAAATTGTTGAGAACGATAAAAGTACGCAAGACTGCATACCTTGGACACATACTAAGAAATAATAAATATAGTCTTCTGCAGGTCATCATGCAGGGTAGAGTCGATGGCAAAAAGGGAATAGGTAGAAAGAGGAAGTCATGGCTGCGAAATATTCGAGACTGGACAAACATGACTGTAGACGAATTATTCCACGTTGCAAAAGACAGAGAAGCTTTTAAAAATGTGGTCGCCAACCTCCGTTAATGGGGACGGCATAGGAAGAAGAAGAACACAAATAGCAATTTAAGAACTAAATATATTGGGACTTTTGGTTTTATATTAAAGGATCCTAAACTCCAACAACATCCAGTATTCTTAGTCTGTCTCTCTACTTTTCCTTATTTTCATAAAAAGATTAATATAATTGGTCAGTAGAACAATACTTGATGTTTTCAATTTCATAATATATAAACACATATATGATGTCATTCAAAACCAACATGGTAGCAGCATATAAAATTAAAAAGAAAACGCTAAGCGTATTTAACAGAAGTCGAAATATAAAATCACATTTAGACATGGGTCCTATTGTTGCCGTTCAAGGCGCTCAGTTCAGATGGTTCCGGTTTCTTGAATTCCTTAATCGGACTGAATAAGTTTGAGAAAAACTTTGC